TTGGGTTGTGTCCTGATTGTTACTTCTTGCAGAGGGCGCGAGGCTCGCAAGACTGGTAGTCAAATAAAATCCATATTCAGAATTCTTCCTCTGTCATTTCAATCATTTCACATAAGTTGGTATCCATTGTTACATATCCATTGTCGAGGAATCTAATGATTTCAATTTTGGAGGGGGTGACTTTTCTCTTTGATCTTTCATGTTTCCTGTGTTCCTTTGCTGATTCTTTCTCTCATCAGGGGCAGAAAGTTTATAAAAAAAATCTATTATTTATCTATCTATATAATATAGGATATACTACTTGGTCAAGAACTGAAGGGTGCTAGGACTCATTTTTGCCTATTTCCAAATCCCTAGGTGTTGTTCCTTGACAGTGTTAGAGACAGGCACATTGTAACCTGTATTGCCTTAGCAGGTATTTTTATAAACAAGGTCTGGGTTAACCATCTGACATCTGCTGTTTCATCATCGGGTCTGCCAAGTTGGTGGGAAGAGTTAGGTATAGGTTTTGAGAAGGTACACAGCGATGAAGCTCCTCAGAGGGTGGGAGTAGGAATCGTGTTGCGGCGGTGATGGACTTCAGCAGTTTGAACGCGCGCTGACTATGAGAGGAAGTGCAAATAGGTGATAGAACTGTGCTGTAATATAGATGTTAAAGCATATAGGGTGGATATTACCCCTCTTAGGTTATTCGATTGATTGTTGTTTGCATAAGGAGTAGCCATGTATTATTCAGGTAAATTCATAATGTCTCTTGTGATATAGGTTTTGGTCTAACCTGGATGGGGTAATAAAATTACCAAAGCCCCAGACATCTGTTTGGAGATGAGGTAATTTTTCACTTTGAGTAAGTGGTTACCTCGAGCACGTACATTCGCCACCGCTTTTCAAGGAAAAGGTTGGAAAGAGACATATGATAGATCGACTTTATGTACAAGTGGTGGAGCCGTGCGAAGAGATCCTATAGGCGTTTGCATGTCTCGAGAGGTATACTGATTGCTGCTAGAGAGAACATGCTAACACTATTTCATAAGCTATATAAATCAGTGCTCTTGTTGCGACCAATCAGATTTTGGGCGGGCAGACTGCTTGGTGCATGGGCATAGAGAGTCAACATAAGAAATAACAAATTGTCATATGAAATACAATACAATAGGCCAGGCTTTAATTTACCACTTCCTGTTCCAAACAACCCTAATGTTGGCAGCTGCCCTAACAGTTAAGAAAGTGAGCTCCTTAGAAGTTACAATCTATATTAGATGACCTAGGCTGGACCCCTCCCCCCACCTCCCCCTCTGTGAGCGAATCTAACACGGCCACCCAACTATAATGATTCAGATGAGGTGTAGGCGTAAGCCCTGGTGCAGAGTGGAGCGAGCCGGAGCGCAGAGCAAAATGGCTCTTCTATATCTTTTTTCGACGTTTTCACTACGACCATCGGTCAAGAGGGCAACGGCGCGAGCATGGGCCAGCGCTACTAGCAAGTTATAGACATAGAGCTTGGGGGAGGGTTGCTCGAGTGAGAGCATCCATGCTGAGACTGCCCAGTTTTGTTGTCTTGCGGAGGATCCACCGACGCAAAACAGAGCGGTGGACACTCACCTGTCTCACACACACATTGAGAGAGATCAGCATATAGAGATTTGAGAATACTATTTATACACATCTTACACATCCACAGCAAAACAAAATACCGATTCATAAAGATGCATACCAACACAGAAGTCTAACGGTTGTGATGATTTTTTCTAGAAAACATACAAAAAGTCCCCACAGATTCATGCCAGATGGCACAGAGAAAAAATGCCACTTTAATTCTTGCTTAATCCACCAGAACAACTCTATTAATAAAATCCAAAGACGGAATTGAGTCCGCCTATATGACCTAAATAAATATCTGGTGGGAAAGTCCTGTGACTAGGGGGCCACGGGGGGGAGGGTTGCTGCCCAGAACAACCGCAGCTCACCACAAGCAGTTCTCAATGGCGGCCATCTCCACTCATATCCCTGGAAGACTATGCTAGGGGACAACTAACATATGTAATTATATATTTATATAATTGTAATATATTTATATATAACACTATATTATATATATTATATTACACATATCAATTTTAATATATATTAGAACTATGTAGGATATTATTATATATAGATAACCACTTATTCATATATTTATACAAACCTATACTTATATATAACCACTAATATAATATATAGCTCTTTATATATAACACACTATGTACATATATATTATATATATACCACTATAATAATATATATTATATATAACCACCTAATGCTTATATATATTATATAACCAACATATTATACTATACTTATATATCAACCACTATATTATGATAATATAACCACCTATGTTTATGTATTGTATATATACACCGTATGTTGTATGTATTGAAATATAACCACCCTATACTTGATATATATATACTAACACTAGTAGTTATCAATATTTATAGTATAACCACTATATTATATATACTATATAATAACCACCTAGTATTATATATAATCTCACAATATAACCCACTATTATATATATATCCAGTTACCATACTAAACTGCACTATATTAATGAAATTTAATGACTATATTATATATAACCACCACTATATTCATATATATTACATAATAAAACGCACTAATATATATATATAATAAAACTATAAGGATCACCACTGTAATTCAATACTCAATATATACCACTATATTAGCCATAAAAAAAGTTACTGATGATATTCCACTAATTACTATTATATTTATATATCAACTCTGTTCAAAAACTCACCACTAATAATTATTCCGCATAAGTGTGTATGAGTACCAACTATCAAATTACGTGACATACCTATTGTGTATATAACCACCGCTATATTCTATACTTAATAAGTATAACCACTATATCTATATATGACACATATATAGTCCTGCCCACTAATATATATATTACTATATTTATATAATAACCACTGTAATTATATAATATTCATATATACCAGCCACTACATTATATATTATATATAAAACCACTAGATCATATATTATATATTATATATGTAATAACCACATTGATGTGCACAACGACAAAACACCATGTGAATATGAAGACCAACGGCTCATAAAAACAGAAACTCTTAAAAAGGGAACAAGCGAACACAGCCTACTCACTTCTAGATTCTCTTTCTTATGGATTTCAACGGCCTTCTCTTCCGATAACCCACAGCAACCGTATTCCAGAGGAGTGAATATCGTCGTGGGAACATTGATATAATCACACTGAAAAAAAAAACCAAAAACACATTACAGCATATAATTATTATGGGACATTTTGTTCTCAGCAAAAATCTACATTAAATACATTTATAACAGGAAAAATAAATGAGTCCAGTTCGGTGTGACTGATTCTTTTTCTAATTTGTCAGTTTTTAAAAATTTTTAGCTGGCCAATTGATTTCTTTCTATTTTTAGTAGAGACGGGGTCTCGCTCTTGCTCAGGCCGGCCTCCAGCTCCTGACCTCGATCGATCCTCCTGCCTCGGCCTCCCTCCTGAGTAGCTGGGACTACAGGCATGCGCCACCATGCCCGGCTCATTTTCTCTCTCTCTCTCTCTATATATATAGATATATATTTTTAGTTGACCAGCTAATTTCTTTCTATTTATAGTAGAGACGGGGTCTCGCTCTTGCTCAGGCTGGCCTCCAACTCCTGGCCTCAATAGCGATCCTCCCGCCTCGGCCTCCCTGAGTGCTGGGATGACAGGCAGGAGGCATTGCACCCGGCCTATTTGTACTACTTTTTTATTTTATTTTATTTTTTGAGGCAGAGTCTCACTTTGTTACCCGGGCTACAGTGAGTGCCGTGGCGTCAGCCTTGCTCACAGCAGCCTCCAACTCCTGGCCTCAACCAAGCTTCCTGCCTCGGCCTCCCTCCCGAGTAGCTGGGACTCCAGGCATGCGCCACCACGCCCGGCTCACTTTTTCTCTATATATTTTTAGTTGGCCGATTAATTTTAGTAGAGACGGGGCTCTTGCTTTTTTGCTCAGGCTGGCCTCGACCTCCTGACCTCGAGAGATCCTCCCGCCTCGGCCTCCTCCCAGAGTGCTGGGATGACAGGATTGAGCCACCGCGCCTGGCTGAATTTTTTTTTTGTTTTTGATATTTTTAGTTGTCCAGCTCATTTCTTTCTATTTTTTTTTTTTAAGTAGAGACGGGGTCTCGCTCTTGCTCAGAGGCTGTCCTCAACCTCCTGACCTCGAGCGATCCTCCCGCCTCGGCCTCCCAGAGTGCTGGGATGACAGGCGTGAGCCACCCCGCGCCCGGCTAATTTTTTCTCTATATATTTTTAGTCGTCCGGCTCATTTCTTTCTATTTTTTTTTTTTT